TGTCCACTGCTCCTCCATTTTGAACCCATTTGGTTTCACTCAGGTGGACCTGTGGCTCCCACATTCGAATGCTCTCTGAATGCTCGATAAATCCTCTGTGTTTTGACTGATTTAAGGTCTGGAGACTCTTCTCGAAGACAGAAATTCACCTAGAGGGGCCTCAGGAGATAGGCCTGGCAATCTGCTTCCAAAAGGTCACAGCCTTGAAAACCCTATAGAGCCGTTCTACTCTGCACACATGGGGTCGCCATGAGTTGGAATCAACTTGAAGGCAAGTAACAACAACAACTCAGTGACATAATTAAAATTCTTTTCAGGGAATCTATGTAGAGATAAATTCTGAAGACATTTGACCATGAAAGAAGAGCCTAATTTTGTCAGATTGCGTTTGTGAATATGGAAGCACTGACTACAGATTCTGAACACAAAGTACTGCATCCTTCAGGAGGAAGGATTCTCACTATTCGTTTGGCTGATTGACTGGAACAAAAGGAGGGAGGGATTGAATTAAGTTGGGCTGCCAAATATGCTTTGGCCTTTGGTAAAAGACTTGCTGTACTGACCCCCATGTGTCCACGGTCAGATTGTTTGATGTTTTTCTAGACCTTGATTTCCTCATCTTTAAAATGGTAATGATAGTATACCTCACAAATTTCCGTGAGGGTTAAATGATTACTACACATAAAACATAAGAAGATGACCTGGAAAATAGTGTCGTCTGTATTGGTTTATTTCTTGTTGTTTGTTGTAGTCATACTTACTTTTTGCCAAAAAATTTTCACTGATTTCCCTTTTGGTTTTCTAGAAGGGTTTCACTTCATGTATGCCTTGCAGTTGGGTGGGACTAAGTAACTAGTTTCTGCCAATGAGTTACGAGTGGAAAGTATGAGTCTAACTTTTAGGGGAAGTGTAATTAATTTCTGGCACAGGTGTCACCAGCGCTGGAGATAGTGGCTCTCCAATCAGCCTGTGTTCCTCAGAGACCCCTGCACACCTAACGTGAACATGTCGTTATTGTTGTTGTTAGGTGCCGTGGAGTCAATTCAGACTCATAGCAACCCATTGTGACAGAGTAGAACTGCCCCGTAGAGTTTTCTAGGCTATAATTTTTATGGAAGCAGATTGACAGGTCTTTTCTCCTGTGAAGCCGCTGAGTGGGTAAGCAGTCGAGTGCTTAACCATTGCACCTCCAGGGCTCCTCTATTATGAACATACAGGGGTTAAAGGTCTAAATCTTTGTTGTTTTAAACAGTCAGGATTTCTGAGTTATATGTTTCCACAGCACAACCTAGTCTATCTAGTAAAAATATATATAACAAAACATTTTCACACTATTGTATTTTGTGATTTTCTTTTTAACATCTTTGTTTCTATCTTTTTGGATTTATATGCAATTAGTATTACAAAAATGGATTTATAATTTACAGATTCTTGTGAGAATGCATTTTTATGTTAAAATATATTGTGCTTATTATCCCAGGCTGCGTTATTGTTTTCATCACCACAATTTGTTTTACTTGTACTGTCTTCTTGGACATTGTTGTTTGGGTTTAAAAGAAAGAAAGATTGATTTTTCCATGTTGCCAGAAGGGAAATAAACCTTTTCTCTGCTCCCTTTTTTAGATCATTTCTGTCAGAAAGCTAGTAATTATAAAAACTTCCTCTGTCCCTTTAATATGTATATAAATTTTTCTAAAAGCTAAATTAGTCTCTTGTCAGCATTTAAAAAAATTGCTATGAGATCGATTCCAACTCATGGTGATCCCCTGTGTGCAAAGTAGAACTGCAGTCTATAGGGTTTTTAAGGCTGTGACATTTCAAAAGCAGATTGCCAGGCCCTTCTTCCAAGTGCCTCTGGGTCGATGTGAACCATCAACCTTTCTGTTACTTTTCAAGTGCTTAACCGTTTGTGCCATCCAGGGATTCCTTTGTCATCATTGCTGTTGTTATTAGGTGGCGTTCAGTCAGTTCTAACTCACAGCGACCCTATCTACAACAGAACAAAACGGTCCTGTGCCATCCTCATAATCGTTGCTATGCTTGAGCCCATTGTTGCAGCCACTGTGTCAATCCATCTCATTGAGGGTCTCTTTTTTGCTGACCCTCTACTTTACCAAGCATGATGTCCTTCTCCAGGGACTGGACCCTCCTGATAATATGTCCAAAGTACATGAGATAAAGTCTCACCATCCTCACTTCTATGGAGCATTCTGGCTGTACTTCTTCCAAGACCAATTTGTCCGTTCTTCTGGCACTCCATGGTATATTCAATATTCTTCACTGAGTTTTGATTGTTTTTAACAGATATAACCAGTGCTGATGATTGAAAACATCAAGAATGCAAATTAGAACTCAAGATAAGCAGAGCTTCCTAACAATTGGACTTCTACAGCAATGCAGTGTGTGTCCTCTTTCAACCCATGGAAGAATCCTAGGAGAGCCTGAGCCTGTGAGGAAGCTGCAGAGGAACTCAGAGTTTGTTTAGATGGTCTCTGAGGCTTCACCCAACTCTGAAAGTCAGTGATTGTAAACAAAGTGGATACTCAAGTCATTGCACCATGGATGAACAGATTTGACTTTACTCATGCTTGTTAAGGGTTAATTATAAATCTGTTGTTGTTCTTTGCCATCAAGTTGGCTCCTGACTCGTAGTGACAAGATGTACAACAGATCGGACCGTTGTGATCCACAGGGTTCTCATCGGCTAATTTTCAGAAGTAGATCACTAGGCCTTTTGTCCTAGTCCATCTCAGTCTGGAAGCTCCACTGAGACCTATTCAGCATCATAGCAACACGCAAGCCTCCACTGACAGGCAGGTGGTAACTGCACTTTAGGTGCATTGGCCAGAAATTAAACCTGGGTCTTTCTCATGGAAGGCGAGAATTCTACCACTGAACCATCACTGCCTCCCCTCTCGTAAATATGTAGGAGGGCAAAATACAAAATAAAACTTCAGGCACGGCCAGAATAACAGGTGAATTTCTCATCAAAGTTCAAACAATAGATCAAAAGCAGAATTCAGCCCAAAAGCACAGGCATGAGTTATGAGGTTCAGAAGACATGTCCCCTAATACTGTAATACACTGAGATGGTTAGATTCTTTTCTGAATCTGTACTCCCCTGTTCGCCCTATCTTCACAGAAAATACCATATTCTGTCTTGAATTAGAGATTTTTCCACGTTGTCTTTTTGGTAAATGTGATATTGTATTCATAGGATACATAAGTGGTAGTGACATTTCTTGGTCAATAGCTATACAGTGAAATCTGTGAGAGCCAGAACTTGACGGGACTGCTTTGTTTTTCCAGGTCTTGCAAGTTTTCTGACTTTTACAGGGTGCAGTCTTGCCACTTTTCTATCGCTCAGTCTAGCAGAAAATATTTGTGTTTTCCTTCTCTGACAGGTTTCTGCCTTACACAGGTTCTTGCTTTCGCAGGTTTTATCGCGTATGTGCTAAAAAAAATCGGTATGTAGACTTTTTAGTTGCCGTCAAGTCAATTCTGATTCATGGAGCTCATGTGTGTCAGAGTAGAACTGTTACATGGAGTTTTCAGAGCTGTGATCTTTCAGAAGCCGATGGCCAGGCCTGTCTTCCAAGGCACCTCTGGGTAAGTTGGAGCCAACAATCTTTCCACTGTTTGTGCCATGCATGGACTCATGTTATATAGACCAGAGTTTCTTAATAGGCATCAAGGAGTAGGCTTTGGCGACCCGTGGACTCCCTGAAGTTGGAGATATCATTTGAAGTGAGTGTGAGCACAAGTACAGTTTGCTATGTTTTTAGATTCTCAAGATGTTTCCTGGACTCAAAGATGCCTGAGGATGCAGGATGTGTACTTCCTCCAGCACAGAATCCTGAACACAGCAAGTTTCCATAAATATTGAACATAATAGCTCTGTAAAACTGAGTGTTTTGAACTAATTTTTTAATCTGACAAGCCAATGTACCTGGGAGCTTTCTTACACACTTAACTCACTCTTAAGGTCCCTGAGTGGCACAAATGGTTTGCTGTCATCTACTAACCAAAAGGTTGGCAGTTTGAACCCACCCAGTGGCACTTTGGAAGAAAGGCCTGGTGATCTGCTTCCGTAAAGATTACTGCCAAGAAAACCCTATGGAGAAGTTTTACTCTGTAACATATGGGGTAGCCAGGTGTCAGAATCGACTCAGGGGGTAATGGATTTGTGTTTTTTTGTTTATCTCACTCTTGTAAGATTGTATCATTTCTGCTTGTCCTAAATTTTCTTGTCATTATCCTTCCTCTCCCACCAGCCTGGGCTTTGAAATGGGCATGGAAAGTGGGTGTCATTTGTGCTACCTAAACACCATCAGGTTTTCAACAGGCTACTTAGCAGGAAGCAGCCCCAAATAGCATCTTCCAATCCTATTCTTTTTTTAAAAAAAGGAGCCTTCCAATAACTATACTTTTCTAATAGAAAAGAATGTCCTATTAGTTGGGTGAGCTCTCCATCACTGGAGGTGGCAAGCCAATTCTCTATTGACCACTTATGAGAGACATCTAGAAAACTGTGGAAGGTTAGGCTAGACCTTAGAGTCCCACATGTTTCAAGTGTAGAATGGAGAGAACATGGCATCTGCTGGGAGTAGGGTATACAATGACTCTGAGACATTGAGGGTAGTTTGGGGGGATCGTTGGAGGCTGGAGCAGTGGCATGAACTACCATTGATCCCAGATCTCCAGGAGAAGAACACACATTACTCTGGCAGTTACATATGTTTTCCTTCAAACTGGTTGCCAGGTTGGTTTGACTGATGACATCAGAGGCTTCCAACCTTCCTGATTGGATGGACTAAGCTCCGTGGATGCTTGGAGTGGATGTGGATAACAGCATCTTCTCAGAGCTGTTTCCCACTCCTAACTTCTCCCTAGTCTGGAGAAGAGATAACAGGCTTGGGTTCAGCCAGAATATTGAATAGTGGTTTGGACCTATTAGGGCTTAGGTTCTGTAGAAGGGAATAAGTAGTTTGAGAGAAATCATGGCCAGTTGTCAACCAAGTTCCCTGTCTGAGGACCTTAGTCCCCAGCTGAGCTCCTCAGGGTTGATAGAGGATGAAGAAATCCCAGGACCATCAGGTGAGTGGACTGGAGTATGGAGAGATTTTAGAGGGTTAACTAGTAATGAGAAAGGGGTAGGGAAGTTAGGAAGGAGTACCTGAGTAGGGTGTGAATAAAAGAAAGGAGGGATTTGAGAGTATAAGAGCTGCAGACACAGACGTCGACATGGAAGGTAAACCTGGGAATCAAGGAAGAAGGGTTAGGAGATGAGATCCAAGGAGGAGAAAAGGGAAACAAGCAGAAGTTCCTCCCTCCCCCCCCTTTTTTTCCTTAATTTGGATAAATTACCTATAATGAAGAAAATTTTTGAGGACAGGGAGATGGAATAATGGCAAGGTGAGTGGGAGCAGATAGGTATTAACAAAGGAGAAACATGGGAAGATGGCTTGGGGAAAGAACAATAGTCTACAAGGCTGGAGAGGATGGAGGGGAGCATTTCTTTCTTGGGTGGGGGAGCTTGGGTAATAGATGGTTGAACTCTAAGGGAAAAAAAAAAGCTTTATACTGTAGCTTCGTTTCTGTTCTCAGCCCCCTGGGTAGAGCCTAACCCCCCGCCTGAGTCTCCTGGCTGGAAGAGGGATTGGTTAACAGCATTAGAGGAGGAGATAGCCGCAGAGGCTGAGGACATCTGGGTCGTAGAGTCACTAAGCGGGCTCAAGATGAAGCTGAAGAAGCAGCGGGTGTCATCTGTGCTGCCTGAGCATCATGAAGTCTTCAACAGGCTGCTTGGTAGGAAGAGACCCCAGATAGCACCCTCCAATCCTACTTCTTTTTTAAAAAGAACTTCCAATAACTACACCTTTCCAATAGAAAAGAATTCCCTGTTAGCTAGCTGAGCACTACATCCCTGGAGGTGGCAAGCCAACTCTATATTGACCACCCATGAGGGACAGCCAGAAAACGATGGAAGATTAGGCTAGACTTGAAATAGGTCTGTACTTGGAATTCGAAAACTTGCTTTCAGCTGGACCCTATGAAATTTATTAACTCTTACCTACCTTTCTGAATCTCTAAATGTCTTCATCTGTACCGGGGGGATAACAAGGCCATCTTCACACCCCAATGTGAACATCAAATGAGAAAATGACCATGAATGACTCTATGTCATCTGAAATGGTACGTTCATGTTCGATTAGGGGCATGATTGTTTATTTAAAGATCTTAATCATGCTCATGTTCTACTGATACCCAGCTTCTTGGAAAACTCAGGATGGGGAGTTATCATCCTTTGCCCAGTGAAATGTTCTCTCTTTTCTTCCCATTGCCCTTACCTTTGGCCACAACCCTGAAACTTCTCCAAGGGAGGCATGGCTCTCCTCTTTGCTCTGGTTAATGCCCACGGCAACCCTGCTCGTTTCCCAAACTAACAGTTGCCTTCTTTTCACAGAGGATCCTGTTGTTAAAAAATTCCTGGCCTGGGACAAAAACCTGAGGGTCTCTGACAAGGTAGCATTCATCGCCATCAAACTCTATTCCTGCACAAACACGTATCCTGGGACGGGGGTGGGGGTGCCTTCTAAACCCACAGTTCTACTCCTCTCTCCCTCTACATTATCTCCAACCTAATGCCTCTTCCTGGCCTCTTCATGACTGGCCAACACCTCTCTCTGGGGTCCTAGAAGGTTCTTGCAGTGTGAATGGGCAGCCCCTGCCTTTGCCCAGGGTCCTTTGGAATTTGAGGCCTAGACCATAGTCTTTCCCTGGATATTGGTCCGTTTGGTTGCTGCCACCTTAAGTCCCAGTCGCCTCTCCTCTCAGTTCCTTGGGATTCCTCTTTGCTCCAGCCTATCAAAGATCCTCCTGATACCAGCCATCCTGAACACACTCCCTCAAACTGTCAGCGCATGCCATCCTGAGAGCATCATGGACTTCCCTTCCTCTGACTTCTCTGATTTGCAACCAACCTACTGATGCCACCCTTCTTCTCCCCAAACAAGTACGCTTGCCCAACACAGGTTCTCTTCCCTGAGCTACAGCCTGTCCCAGCCTCTCATTCCCTGATTTCAAGGTCCTTCCTCTTCTGGGATGTGACCTCTCTCTCGTGGTTTTTCCCTCTCCCCATCAGTATCTCCTGAGCATGGTCATTGCTTACTTTAGCCGGGCTGGCCTCTTTTCCTGGCAGTACCAGCGGATCCATTTCTTCATAGCTCTGTGAGTATTTTGCCTCATTCCATCAACCAATATCCAGTAACCTGGGAGTGTGGACCCAAGTGCCAAGGTGGCACAAGTGTGTTATGATCAGTTACTAACCAAAAGGTTAGCAGTTCAAACTCACCCAGCAGCACTGCGGAAGAAAGGCCTGGTGATCTTCTGTAAAGATCACAGCCAAGAAAACCCAATGGAACAGTTCTACTCTGTAACACATGGGGTCACCATGAGTCAGAATCGACTCAATGGCAATGGGTTTTTTTTGGGGGGGTTGGGAGCATGGGCAGGGGAGAAGTGGGACTCTAACCTTCATCTATTCTTCAACCTATTAGTACTGTTTATTCTGTGTATAAAAATTACGGGAGTTATTTGGGTATAGGGATTATAGTGTTGTGGTTTTTTAAAATACTGTTCCTTTTAAAAACAAACACCCTAATGTCAGTTAAAAAAAATTGAACAAAACATAAAAGCCTCCTAAGAGAAAAGGAAGAAAGAATTGACACCACCATTATTGTTGTTGTTGTTAGTTGTGGTCGACTTTGTCCCTGCCTCATGGTGACCCCATGCACAACATCATAAGTTGCAGACTGAACTGTTGTGATCAGTTGCAGATTGAACTGTTGTGATCCATAGGGTTTTCACTGGCTGATTTTCAGGTAGATTGCCATGCCTTTCTTCCTTGTCTGTCTTAGTCTAGAAGCTCCACTGAAACCTGTTCAGCATCACAACAACACGCTAGCCTCCACCGACAGACACGTAGACACCACCATGCCCCACAAGCAAATAGGCTTGAAACATAGTCATTTCTGCTTCCCTCTGTCTCTCTCTTTCCCATGTCAATGCCACATGTAATTGTCATCTTCTGGCTTCCCACTACAGATACCACGATTCAAGTCCTCCTTACATGACACAGACCTCTTGGAAAACTCTCCCAGGCAAGCGTTTCTTAGTCTCTCCCCAAATCTATCCATCTGTATGTGTTGCCTGAATAGCCTTCTACAACCCAGGTCAATCTACTCACATTTCTCCTTAAAAATTATATTGGCTAATTACTTTCTTAATCAAGTCTAGAGTTCTCAGTTTGAACTCAACATTGCCTATACTCTCCATCAAACTTGTTTACCATTCTGCTATTTCACTATTCCTTCTAAACACTCTGCAGTCTCCCTCCCTCTATTTTTATATTGTGTTTGTTGTCTAGATGTGTTTCATACATGTGTATCAGAAGACAATTACCTATCCTTCAAATCAGTTCAAACACCAAAACCTTCATGATGTCCCCACAGCATTTGGCTAAAATCCTACTACCATATGCTCTTTTGGGTTACAGTTATTTCTTATCTCCTCTGTCCCCTTACAAAATCCCCTGAGACTAGGTACTTGTTGAAGGCAAGTGTTTTAGTTATGTAGTGCTGCTATAACAGAAATATCACAAGTGGGTGGCTTTAACGAACAGAAATTTATTTTCTCACAGTTTAGGTGGCTAGAAGTCTGAATTCAGGGCACTGGCTCTAGGAGAAGGCTCTCTCTCTGTCTGCTCTGGGGGAAGGTCCTTGTCTCAGCTTCTCTAGCCAGCCATCCTCGGAGTTCCTGAGCTTACAGGCTGGTCGGCCTCTTTGTCTTCAGATAGTGTTGATCTTCCCCTTGTGTCTGCCTTCTTCTGCACCTAATCTGCTTTTTTATATCTCAAAAGTGATTGGCTTAAGACATAGCCTATACTATATGGCCTCATTTACCTAACAAACCCTATTTCCAAATGACATTATAACCACAGGCATAGAGGTTAGGATTTACAACACATGTTTTGGGGGGGACACAATTCAATCCATAACAGCCCGTGTCTGCTTTCTTCTGTGCCTAATCTGCTTTTATATCTCAATAGTGATTAGTTTAAAACACACCGTACACTGATATGGCCTAGTTAATGTAACAAAGAAAACCCTACTCCCGAATGAGATCACATCTGTGGGCATAAAAACCAAAAAACCAAACTTGTTGCCGTCGAGTTGATTCCGACTCATGTTGACCCTACAGGACAAAGTAGAACTGCCCCATAGGGTTTCTAAGGAGTGGCTAGTGGATTCGAACTGCCAACCTTTTGGTTAGCAGATGAGCTCTTAACTACTGTGCCACCAGGGCTTCTCCATAGGCATAGGAGCCAGGATTTATAACATATATTTTGGGGAGACACAATTCAATCCATAACAGCAGGTGTTATCCTTTCTGGGAGGCTGACCTCAGGCACAGACCCTCCCTGGTTCTGCTCCTGACAAGCAACCTGACTTCTGTCTCCAGCTACCTGGCCAGCGACATGGAAGAGGACAACCAGGCCCCCAAACAAGCCATTTTTTCGTTCCTCTATGGGAAGAACCGCACCCAGCGCCCATTGTTCCACAAGCTAAGATTTCAATTCGTCAGATCCATGGGCTGGAAGACAAGGGTTTCCAGGGAAGAGTGTGAAGAGGTGGGGCTATGGGGCTTTGGGGAGGGGTCGGGATTGAAGAGGGGGTGGAACGTGAAGGATTGAAGTTGGGATTTGGGGATTGCAAAGAATGGAAGGCTGGACAAGGAGAGGGAGGGACCTATGTGGAGACCATCGTTTTTCAGGGGGCTGCTTGTGTTTTCTGAGGTTCGCTGGTGGCACAGCGGTTAAGTGCTCAACTGCTAACCGAAAGGTCTGTGGTTCGAACCTACCAGCTGATCCAAGGGAGAAAAGACCTGGTGATCCGTTCCCATAAAAATTATAGCCTAGGAAACCCTATGGGGCAGTTCTACTCTGAGATGGACTATGAGTTGAAATCAATTCAATGGCAACAGGTTTAACAGAGTTTGTCTTTCCAGATCCAGGCTTATGACCCGGAGCACTGGGTGTGGGGGCGAGATCGCACCCTCATTCCCTAGAGCTCCCAAAGACCACAGAGGCTCGGGAACATCGGCCTGAGGAGAGGTATGTCTGTGTTCTCACCTGTAGGAACAGGATGATGTATTGTCCATTTAGGAAATATGGGGAACCATTTGCTTCACCCAGAACAAACCCCTCCAAACCACATAACCTTACATACAATGCGTAATAGACCAGTCGGGTGGATGCTCCCTTCACCATCTGAGGCTCCCTGTCAGCCTCACAGTCTCAGATTGACAACCAGTCATAGGCACAGCCTCAGTGAGCCATGCTGGGCACTGGTGAGGCCACTCAGTGGGACCTCAAGAAAACCAGTTTGTCACCAAAGTGTGGATTTGGCCAAAATCATTTAACCCAAAGCAATTGGGCCAAAGAACATCTTTGATGGCGTGCTGATTTTGGTCAAAAGTGAGCATCACTTAGTCATAATTTTCCAGATATTTTCCACATATTCAGTAGCAGATTATTCAATAGGCAAGGTAAGCATGGTGCGTATAGATCATCTGCAGTGAACAATTACACTTTTTTTTTTTTTTTTTTGCCACATCAATGATTCTGCTTCTAGGTATGGCTGGCATCTCTCTGTCTCCCAACCACACAGCACCTTCCTACAGAATCAAAGCCTCTTTTCAAGTTTATAGTCCCTGACAGATTATAATCTGGGACAGATTACCCAGTCAGCCAGGTAAGCATAGGCTTACTTGTGCTTACTTACTACTCTGTAGTGAACAGTTTCACACGTTTTTCACCACCTCTTTGATCACTGCAAATTAGGAAGTAAGCACAAGTAAGCCTGTGCTTACCTTGCCTCTTGGGTAATCAGCCCCTGCATGTATTATGTTTTTACTTTCTCTTTTTAATTCATTTTTGGCCTTTTGTCCCTTAGGGATACCAACTATAGGGATTTATTGATAACAAAGTAAATGTTTAATAATAGGATATTAGATGCAACTGTCCACATATTCAATAGAAGATTAATTATAACTAGGGGGCAGTGGTGGGTCAGTGGTAGAATTCTCACCTTCCATGCAGGACACCCGGATTTGATTCCTGCCCAATACACCTCATGCGCAGCCACCACCCGTCTGTCTGTGGAGGCTTGTGTGCTGTTATGACATTGAAGAGGTTTCAGCGTAGCTTCCAGACTAAAACAGAGTAGGTGGAAAGGCCTGGCGACCTACTTCTGAAAATCAGCCAGTGAAAACCCAATGGATCACAACGGTCTGATCCTGTTGTGCATGGGATCGTCATGAGTCAGGGGCCAACAATTATAACTAACTACATTTTCATTCAAATCTGCTTTCAAACAAATTGCATATGGCCAGATCACTGGTGCCACAGCCATCGTCAGGCCACTTGGAAAGACCATCAGCACATAAACAAGCACACAAACACTCAAAGTCAGATGTTCACACACACAGAATCAACATCGATGGGAACACAGACATCTTGACTCAATTGATGATGTGAAATGAGACCCAGGGAGGAACAACTTAGACTGACCTTTAGTTTGTAAAGATGAAGTCTGGGGTTCAAGGTTGGGCTTAGAATGCGTGGGTATGGCATGGCTTTTACATAGACTAGGGTTATAGATGTATATTTCAAGACGTGAGTCAAAAGTGAGAATTAAGAGTTATGGCTAGGTCTTGAGAGAAATGAGTAAAGCAACTGGCTTTAGAAGAAGGTGTGAGAGTGAAAAGTTGGGAGTAGAATGTGAGGTAGAAGTTGGTTAGGGTTAGTGTAAAACAGAATAATTTTGAAATCTAGAGATGTAATTTATAAATTAAGTTTAAGCCTGAATGTAGAGATTTGGCTACATGATGAAGGCTTGATACAGTTACCCAACTCATTTCATTTTGTGATGAACCTCAAATTATAGAAACTTTCTCCAACTGTGTAAGTATATTTATGCATGTGATTTTTTAAAAATAATATTTTATTGTGTTTTCAGTGAAAGATTATATGTACAGCATATTAGGTTCCCATTTGACAATTTCTATACAAACTGTTCAGTGACACTAGTTGCATTTTTCACAATGTGTCAACATTCCCTTTAATTGCATTCTGGTTGTTCTACTTCTGTGTGTATGTGATTTTTGTGATGACCCTCTAATTATATAAAATTTCCCCAACTGTATATTATGGGTGCATGCATGCACACACACGTGTACTCCTCAGATCACTGGTTGAAAGGGAGTTGTGGGCAGAACCTCAGAAATATGGTGGCTGAGAGAAAATAAGGAAAAGGGCAGGAATTTAAGGAGAAGAGAAGAGAAATTAAAAGAGCAAAAAGGTCATATGGAAAGAATATGCAGAAAGAAATGAAACCAGGACAATTAGGAAAAGGAGAAAAGGGAAGAAAGGAAAGAGACAGAGTGAGCACTTCCTTTCCCCTGACTCAGCCACTCAAGGACCAGTCTTTCCTCTCCTACAATTACGCCTTCTCCCCTCAAGTCTATAGTTAAGGATGTTTGTCAGAATGATCAAAGGTAGAGAAATATTAGCTTTAGGGTAGCTTACTGTTGTTGTCGTTATGTGCTATCGAGTAGGTTCTGACTCACAGTGACCCTACGTACAACAGAACGAAACACTGCCAGGTCCTGCACCATTCTCACAATCGTAGCTATGTTTGGGCCCATTGTTGCAGCCACTGTGTCAGTCCATCTTGTTGAGGATCTCTCTCTTATTCGCTCACCTTCTCCTTTACAGAGTATGATGTCCTTCTCCAGGGACTGGTCCCTCCTGATAACATGTCCAAAGTAAGCAAGTCAAAGTCTAGTCATCCTCACTTCTAAGGAGCATTCTGGCTGTACTTTTTCCAAGTCACATTTGTTCATTCTTCTGGCAGTCCACTGTATATTCAGTATTTTTCCATCAACACCATAATTCAAATGCATCAGTTCTTCTTCAGTCTTCCTTATGAGTTGGAATTGACTCGATGGCAATGGGTTTGGGGTTTATTGGCATGTTAGAGTTACAGAATCGGGGAAAGGATTCAGCGTATGTTTGGTTTAAATATTGTGCACTAGCTAAGCTTAGAAGTAAATATTATAGCTAAACATTAGTATTTGCGGTTAATATTAAGGACAGGAGTCCCTGGGCGGTGGAAATGGTTAATGTGCTTGGTTGCTAACCAAAAGGTTGGAGGTTGGAGTCCACCCAGAGGTGCCTTGGAAGAAAGGTCTGGTGATCTACTTCCGAAAAAGCACCTATTGAAAACCCGCTGGCAAACATGGGGTCATCATGAATTGGGGTTGACTCAATGGCAACTGATATTAGGCATTAGGCATCTGGTTTCAATCACAGGGACGTTGACATGGAGTAATTGATGTTTGTAGCACAACTAGAAGTTCAGATCTAAGTAACACAAAAAGACCATGGTGTGAATTTAGTGTAAAGCAGCCTTCTCCAAGTGTGCCCTACACTGTGAGCAGAATCATGTCGAGTCCTTGTTATCAAGCAGATTCTTGGGCCTGACCTTAACAGCATTATGTAACTTCTGGAGTCAGGCTCACCAATGTTCAGGATTCACAATTCGAAACTATTGTTCAGGATTGGGGTTCAGAATGAAGGAGCAGAGATAAAATTGGATATATAAGTGAGCTTAAACGTCCCTGGGTGGCACAAAAAGTTTGTACCCATCTACTAAACTAAAGGTTAGCAGTTGGAACTCACCCAGCGGCACTACAGAATAAATGCCTGGCAATCTGCTTCTGTAAAGATTGCAGCCAAGAAAACCATATGGAGCAGTTCTATTCTGTAACACATGAGGTTGCCATGAGTCAGATTCAACTCCCCTGCACAAGACAACAACAACAAACTCTGGTTAGGATGGATTTAGAATATGAATCATCTTTACATCCTTAAAGTCTGACATTGTCTCTCTTTCTCTTGCTTCCAGATCGCTGGGCTCAGGGGAGATGTGAATCTTTAGCAGGAAGTCAACTCTGCTGAATGAGATATGAGGAATGAAGAGAGGAGCCTCATACAACTAACCTAGAAGAACTCAAGCTCTTCTCCAAGGACTGGATAGAGTTATCATTTCTGTACTCCTAGAAGCTGGGGGGTCCTTCTAGGAGTCTTTGGAGGGACAATGAGAAACCAGGGGTTTTTTTGGTTCTGTTCCTTCCTACTGCACCACCTAAATTTTCCAATTGCTCAGTTCAAATCTCTCCTGAGGTGGAAGCTGGAGGTTCCATTTTGTAAATATATTTAGTTACCATTTGAAGGTGGAGTGTAGGGGCTTAAGTTGGGAAGGGATAACTTTATAAATGTAAAATTAAAGCCATAGGATTGTGATAGACAGCTTAATATATGCCATAAATTGCATTGGTTTATTTTTAAAATGTTGGCCATATAATTATTATATTTATTATAATGTATTATATATTTCAAACCATTCTTATACTTCTAAAGACATGTTCTTTCTATAAAGTTTTATGATAGTTGTTATAGCTGTTATATATATGTAAATATAATTTTGTTTGTATTTTCAAGAGCTATTTTTGTCTTTTTATCTACTGAAAGTTACATATCTAGGTGGTAGTCCCCCAAGTCCTTGTAAACATGAACGTTTTATTTAACGGTTAGTCTTCATTATTGAATTTTGAGAGTTCAGTTTTAATTTTCTAACTTGCTTTGAATATATTTGGGTGTTATTTTAAAGAGGACAGTGCAATGCTTCTCTTGGGGAAATATAATATAGATGAAAAGTCTTTCATCTGCTGATCCTGCAAAACAGATCTTCTCATTGGTTTGGGGAGATTTTCAACTTTCTCCCAGTATCCTCAGTAAGCTCCACTAATTGGGAATTCCCACTGGCCTGTGTGGTCATCCTCGGGGCAACGTTGTTTCCCTGAGCCTGTGATTTGTTCTGCTGATAAACCTTAAAAACAGACAACTCACCATGGGCTGCTCTTATCAGGGACATTCTGTCCAGAAAACTGCTGTAGGCCAGTGGATGCAGAAAATATCTGCTGTAACAGAAAGAACTTTGTGGAGGAGATGCTCAAGAATTTCTGTATAGCATATGTACATACAGAGTTCGTTGCACAATTCAGGACTATTTCCTTGTATTAACATGAATGTGGGGTGCTGATGGTATTACATTGAATTTTACGTTCTGGTTGTGCATGAATTCTGTCTCTTGCGGTTTATCTATGGCTACTACTAACTGATGATATGTGATAACGTGTTTAAAATTTTATACCAGAAGGTGTAGACTGGTAATAAAGATATACATACATGTAATATATATATATATTTAACTTATCTTACTCCATGATATCTTTTCCCAGTTATGTGGACGATGACTCTAATTTCTGTTCTAAATGGCATCATTGAAAAATGCAGCATTTTGTACTAGCAATATTTGTATTCTGTGCAGCCTCTGAAAACCATTTTATATAGCTCATTGGCAATCTCCTACTGTTTCCAACAGATGAACTGTTTCCCACCCAGATAAGAGAACAAATGACAGTATGTATTAGGTTCTCTTTTCCTAAATAAAAATACAAAGACTCTAAACGGTAATCGAGACTTTTTTTTTAATCTTCTGTATTTTTCCATTAAAAAAAAAAAAGTCTTCCCACTTTCAAGATGTGTGTGATAGGCCTGGGTTGCTTGCTTGCTATCAAATGATGTTGTTGCTTAATGGGATTGTGGTTATTTAACCACATTTCTGAACTTTGAAAAATAATTCTAATTATTTTTCATGTAGAATAAAATGAAGAATAAGAGATGAGGCAGATCTTAAGCAAGAGTCTTGAAGCAGAAAATAAGGAGAGATATTAAGGGAGAAAAGCAGGAAGAGTAGAAAGAAGAAAGCAATCTATATGGGTGGCTGAATAATAATCCAAAATTCGACATGAAGGAAAGATGTCTCAACAAAAGATGCATTTTCAGAAATAGCCCAAGGCAAGGGAACATGTAAAGGCAGTGTTGCTATTTTAATCATAATAGGAGTCCTTCTCACAGCCTCCAATTCCAGTCTCACGTGGGAGATGGGAAATCTAGAACACGCGATAAGAACAAATGAAAGGAAATGACAGTATTGGAGCAATTTCTGAGGAAAAAAAGAGAAGCAGCTAGTTGGAGCTAAAGATGTTAAATAAGATAGTCATGGAGCAGAAAGAACTAGTGCATAAATTATTGCAGAAAGGTAGTTTATGAGATAGGAGCATTAGACAAGATGGGAGTAGCTGAGGAAATGAGCAACTGCGTGATTTAAGTATCAGCTAGAAGCAAAACAAAACTAACATGACACAAACAAGAGGGAAATAAGCTTCCGAGGAAAAAAAAAAGCAACTGAAGAGATACGAATGGGGTCAAAGAAAAAAATAAGACCAGTTTTAAGGGTCTGGGAACGACTGAAGTATGGAATGAGCTAAAGAAAGGAATACGGAATACCTGTCCCTTGGAGTTATGGGTAGTTTGTAGAGAAAGCATCTTCATCACCGTGCGGCTCTGCCCAGGTCTGCAGAATGGTCAGGCTAAGAAGTAGTGATAATGCCTTGGGCTTTCTCTCAAAACTCTGCGGCGCATCTGAATCAACTGGAGGACTTGCTACAACATAGATTGCTGGGCAATCCCCCAGAGATTCTGATTCAAGGATTCTGGGGTAGAGTTTGAGATTCTGCATTTCTAAAAGGTTCCCAGGTGATGATGCTGACGCTGCTGGTCTAGAGACCAGCTTTGAGAACCACTGCTATAGATTGGGGATCGGCAAACATTTTTGTAAAGGGCCAGTTAGTGCATATTTTAGGCTTTGCCACTTCGACTCTCCAGTTGTAGCATGAAAGCAGCCATAGACTACACATAAACGAATGTGGTAGTGTTCCAATAAAGCTTTATTTATAGACATTGAAATTTGAATTTCATATAATTTCATGTGTTATGAATATTATTCTTACTTTTATTTTTTCAGACATTTAGAAACATAAAAATCACTCAGCTCACGGGCCATACAAAAACAGGCTGTACGCAGATTTGTCTCAGGAGTCACAGTTTGGCAAAACCTGCATTAGAAGCTTCCCACTAAAGCCAGGAATTACTCCCACTATTCCTACTAATGACACTATTATTTACGATTTTGTCAGAGATGTTAGCCAGTGCAATCAAAGAAGACACAGCAATTAGAGGAACATGAATTCAAAATAAAGATGTTAAACTATCTCTGTTTGTAAATGGCATGATTGTATATCTAGCAAATCCAAGAGAATCAAGGAACTCTGAAAACAAAAACCAGTCGAAAACCCGTTGCCGTTGAGTCAATTCCGACTCATACCGAAAACTGCCCCATAGTGTTTCCAAGCGGCGCCTAGTGCATTCGAATTGCTGACCTTTTGGTTAGCTGTCGTAGCTCTTAATCACTATGCCCCCAGGGTTTCCAAAAGCAAAAAGAAAACACTGAATTGGGATAAAAGTTAGCATACAGAAATCATTAGCAATAACCAGTTAAGGAATATAACGGAAGAGACGACTGCATTACAATCGCAACAAAAAGTAAAACAGCAGGAAATAAACTTGGCGTGAAATGTGCAAAATCTATACAAACAGGAAAACTTAAAACACATTGGAAATATATAAAATTATACTGAATCAAATGGGAACATGTTCTTGGATAAGAAGCGTCAATATCTTTAAAAAAATTTATTTTCCCTAAGTTAATTTATAATTTTAATATGATCCCAATACAAATTCTAATAGATTTAAATTTTTCCTGGATTTAGGCAAGAAAACTATAAAGTTCATAAGGAAAAATAAATAATAATATCCAGGAAAATCCTGAAGTAGAAGAGCAATTTGGATTGCCTAGCCCTAGTAGATATTAACATGTTATAAAACCTTTGAAACTAAAGTAGGAAAAAAAAAAAACACGAGAAATAGTCCCAACTCTCCTAGCATGCATCGCCTCCTAACAGCTACAAGGTAGAAACATTTAAGACGTTCCCTAAAACGTGTCGTGTTGACTTATGGGAAATGGAATCCTGCTGTTAGTCCTGTTACCTGTCTTGGGCCCGGCGGGCGGGCTTCCAGTGATCTGCGCAAACAGTCCCCGCGCAGCGTGCGTGTTCGCGCATGCGCACTGCCGCCGCGCTGCTCCCGCTTCCGTTCCTTTTGTAGGTCACCGCCCGCCGTATTTCCCAGGTTTTGGCCTCTGGTAGGCGAGAATCCCGGCGCCTGTGGGTGTGGGCGTCGTCTGACGCGGGCAGTAGCCAGGCGAGCGCCGGGCTGTGCTGACACCTCGAGCGGGGGCCCCCAGGCGCGAGGCCCGGAGCCCGCGGTGCTGTGGCCAGAGGGGCTGAGCCGGGCAGTGGTGGCCGCGGCAGGGAAAGCACTCGGTGGGCGGTGGGGTCTCCTTTGGCCCGGACGGTGCGCTCTGGCTCCGCCGACCGCCCCAGGACCGGCCTGTCTGCGTCGCCAGTGGCCCTGGTCTGAGTTTATCCACGGCCCGGCCGAGGCCCCGGGGACGGTGAGTTCCACGGGAGGCCGATTTGGGCCTGGGAGGAGCGTTCCGGCCGAAGTGCACTTGTCCTGTAGGCCCCGACCCAGCTCCTAAAGAACGGGACGACCTCGGTGAGGTGGAAAGGAAGAGACTCAGGAGCAGAGGCTGCGTCTAAGAGATCAGCCCCGAACAGCCTACCCGAGCCATGGGGCGGAAGCTGAGCAGCCCCCGAAGCGGCAGGTCGTGGATCTGCGGGCCTCGAGGCAGTTCTTGATCCTCCTGCCTGAGCGAGCAGCCTTGAGTGAATACGTCCCATGTGAGGACATTCCAGAGTGTGTGATAGTGGGGGGTGTTGACCGCTTCCAGAAGAGACGAGTGCGTTGGGTTTGTGGGCGTGGGGCAGGCTGCCCTGGAAAGGGTCCTGCATGGGGAGATTGGTGAGGACAGGGTTTACTGGAGGCGAAGGGGTCATCAGCCATGATTGAAGACATTGTGTCTGCACTCATTCCTCTGCACGCTAACATCCTTCCTCCTCCTGTCACCCTCTCCAGATTCCAAACGTGTCTCTAAATCCCCATCACCACCTCTGGTCTCTAAGCTTATGCTGATTCCGCCTCAGTTCTGCCCTTGTGGAATCACACAGTGTATTGTAGGAACAGTCTGCAGGGGTTATCTCTTGCTGCCTCATTTGATAGAGGAGTAATTTGGGCCTCAGAAGGTGGGTGACTTGTCCAATGTTCCAGGGTTTGTAGGTGGGATTGCCAATAGTGGAAATTATGAGTCTCCTCTTCCAGGCCAGTGTTCTGCCCAGTATTCTTAATAATTTTATGTGCGGTGGCAACCAAGTTTAATCTGATGTCTTAAAAAACAAAACCGTGCTTTTATGCAATTTACTCTGTTTTTGGTAGCTCCTATTCTCAATTTTTGTGGGTTCTTTGGTTTTAAGCGATTCAAAGAGATAGTAAGAATGTATGTGAGCAGTATAACAGGAGAAATCATTTGTACCTTTTATTTAATGATAAAACACCATTTTATAAAAGGAGGTGATGTTTTTATTCACCAATGGAATCTAACCTATCTAATTACCACATAATCATGTTGAAGTTACAAACGTACAGATGTGTATTTTCTTCATATCACCCTTTTAGCCCCGTCTAGGTTTTCAAAGATCGTTATTTTATTGAGCATTCTTTTGCAGGCGATTCCTGCCTAGGCATGCCAGATTTACTCCTAACTTCAATTTCTTGCTTTTTCACCCCTAGGTCCACCATTGCAGTTCTGTATACTTTTCCAAGAACAGTAGACGATGAACAAATCCCAGGTGAGTTTTCCTGTTTGTTCATATGTTTCTCACTTTGTTTTGTGATGCCTTTTATGGCTTATAAGGATCCATGCTTTAAAATGGGAAAGTGGAAATAGGTAAAAGACACGATCATGTAAAATACAGTTAGAGTGGTAGATCGGCACTAGGAGTGTTCCAAGTTCCTGTGTGTAGGCAGTATGACACTTTAGACCTACTGAAGTTGAGCTCCAAATATGAGTGATGCTCTTGGTAGTCATGTTGTTAGGTGCTGTTGAGTTGGTTCCAACTCATGGCAATCCTATGTACAACAGAATGAAATACTGCCTAGTCCTGCCCCATCCTCACAGTTGTTGCTATGTTTAAGCCCATTGTTGTAGCCACTGTGTCAGTCCATCTTGTTGAGGATCTTTCTCTTATTCGGTGACCCTCTACTTTACTGAGCATGATATCCTCCAGCGACTGGTCCCTCCTGATAACGTGTCCAAAGTAAGTTAGATGAAGTCTTGCCATCCTTGCTTCTAAGGAGCATTCTGACTGTACTTCTTCCAAGACAGTTGTGTTCATTCTTCTGGCAGTCCATGGTGTGTTTAATGTTGTTCACCAACACCGTAATTCAAAGGCATCTGTACTTCTTCAGTCTTCCTTATTCATTGTCCAGCTTTCGCATGCATATGAAACGATTGAAAATACAATGGCTTGGGTCAGGCACACTTTAGTTCTCAAAGTGAGGAAAATACTATCCATTACATAATTTGCATTGACTGTAAGAAGAAACTATTTTTGTTTCTTGTGGGTTTTAAAGGTTTCCCGATGTTGTTGTGTACTATTGAGTCAGTTCCAACTCAGCAACCCTAATGGGATAGAGTAGAACTGCCCCATAGGGTTTCCTAGACTGTAATCCTTATGGGAGCAGATGGCCAGGTCTTTTCTCCCATGGAGCTGCTGGTGGGTTCAAACCACCAACCTTTCAGTTAGCAGCCGAGTGCTTAACCATTGTGCCTCCAGGGCTCCTTTAAAGGTTTCCTAGAACTTGGAAAAATTTCTTTATTAAGGTTAATATAATTGTGGATTGTTTTCCTAATAATAACTGTTATTTCATTATGTGGCTTATACTTATTCCTTATGTAAGTAGGCATATACTGCCCAATGAGAACTCAGTGCATTATAATTTTTCCAGGGACCGAAATACCATGATCCAAGTAGACATATTTCAGTTGTTTAGAGTTTATCCAGGGTTGATACCTAGATCATGGGTTTAATTGCTTATCCTTTAAATATTTCACCATAAACATTTCCATGAGTCTGTTCTTTGGGTTGCACCACAGACAATACAGGAGGTACTCTCTAGTAACGACTTCCAGACTTCCCATTCCCATTTCAACTTTCAGGGTCTTAGTTCTGTCCTCACCACTTCCCTGAACCTGTTAGTCAAACCCAGTGGACATTTTCCAGACCACATCTCCCATGACCATTCTTTGACCTGTGACAACTGTTACTTTTAGTAGCACCATACACCTAGTTCATTTCAAACTACTTTTTTCTTCATAGAGTCTTCCTTTCTTGGCTTTTAAAAAATGTATATATAAATATTTCTGTATATGTCTAAACGATCAAGATTCTTTTTAAAAGGGGATAGGGGTAACCCGCAATACCATTCTTTCTAAATATAGTTAATATGATACTTGGTATTCAGAGTTTCCCAATTTACTGAATTTATTTCAGTCTGTTCTTTTTAATCAGGATACTAATAGAGTCCATACGTTGCAGTGGGTTGGTAAGTCTCTTACGTCTTTTAGTAGCAGTTTTCCCTGCATGTCTGTTGTGTTTTTCTTTGCAGTTTATTTTTGAAAGAAGCTGAGTTATTCATCCTGCAGTTTCCCTCAGTCTGGATTGTGTTCATTGCATTGCCATCATTTTACCTTTAACACATTCTTTATTGCCTGTACACCTTGTAAAATTGGTAGTTAGATCTGGAAGCTTAATCAGATTTATGGTCAGTTCTTCTGGTAAGACTACATTGTACATGGCATTTGTGTACTTTATTCTGGAGACACGTTAGCTTCCTTTGTCTGTTTTCGTGATGCTAGCATCTATTGATATCCATCACCTTGATTGATGTCCGTCAATTCATTATTGTTGTTATTAGTTGCCGTCGAATCGGCTCATGGTTACTCTGTGTATACCAGAACAAAATATTGCCCCAGCCTGCGCCATCTTCATGATTTTTGGTGTATTTGAGTCTATTGTTGCTCCTATTTTTGCTGGCCCTCTTTCAGCAAACGGAATGTTCTTTTCTAGTGACTGGTCTTTCCTGATGATGGGTCCGAAGTAAGTGAGCCGAAGTCTTGCCATCCTCCCTTCTAAGGTGCATTCTGGTTGTATTTCTTCTAAGACTGATACGGTGTTTTTCTGGCAGTCCATGGATATTCAGCATTCTTTGCCAGCACTACAGTTCATATGCATCAATTCTTCTGTCTTCCTTCTTCACTGTCCAGCTTTCACATGCATACAAGGTGTTTGAAAAGACCATGGCTTGGGTCAGGTGCTCCTTAGTCATCAGAGTGACATCTTTGCTTTTTAACACTTTAAAGAGGTCTTTTGTAGCAGATTTGCCCAGTGCAGTACACCATTTGACTTCTTCACTGCTGCTTCCGTGGATATTGATTGTGGATCCAAGTAGAATGAAATGGTTAACAGCTTCAGTTTCTTGTCCGTTCATCTTGATGATGTTTATCAGTTCAGTTGTGAGGATTTTCATTTTAGTGATATTCTAACGCTACCATTTCTTTTTCATGTACTAGCTAGAATACTTTTCCAAAAATAAACATCTCTTATCTGTTTGGCTATGTGGTTCATACAGGAAAGACAATTTTCAAAATACTGAGGAGGCTCCTGACTGGCAGTTTTTTTTCTTTTTTGCTATCATTTTGAACTCTAGGTTTAAACGTTTCTCAAGTGTTTTTAATACATTGAAGTTGTTATTCTCTTCAGTGTTTAGATGGTTCCATCTTTGACCAGGGAGCAACCCTTTAAATTGGTTTCTGAGTCCTTTTGAAACATCCTCTGTATATTTGATAGTATTTTTTTAATTCGGTGTTTTATTTTGAAATATTTTCAAATTAAAAAAAAAACTGCAAGGATTGTACAAGAAACACCATATTTTTACCCCAATGCTCTAATTTTTAGTGTTTTCCATATTTGTTTTGTCATTGTTTCTTTGTGTGTACATATACATATTTTTTATCTTGAACTATTTGAGTATGTTGTACATCATGCTTCTTAGCCTGTAATGTTTCAGACTGTGCTTCCGAAGATGGAGGATATTCTTCTACATGTCCGTGGCACAGTTATTCAATTCAGGAAATTCATGTAATATTTTTATTTAATACACAGTTTATCTTCCAGTTTTGCCAGTTTTCCCCGTAATTTTCTTTATAGTAGGTTTTTTTTTTTTTTTTCCTGGTAGAGAAGGCAGTCCAGAGCCATGAATTACATTTAGCTTCGTGTTTTTTTAAGTCTGTTCAATATGGAATAGTTCTTCCGTGCCATTATAATATTTTAAGAATATAAGTCAAGTATTTTATAGAAGTCCTTCAGTTTAGGTTCCTCTGGTGTTTCTTCATGATTAGATTTAGATTATGAGTTTTTGGTTGGAATACTAAATGAATAATGTATCCTCCTGTTGTTGCATCTGGAGGCACTTCCCTTTTATAGGTAATGTAAATTTTGATTGTTTAAGGCGTTGTTTTGTTTCTTCACCTGTATAAATAACCAGGATTTTTCCTTTTGGATTTAATAACTTGAGTTTGTGTAAATATCCTGTTCCCCATCAGACTCTCTCCCTCCCCTATGATGGTTTCAAAATGAGAATTTTCAACCTCTTTCATTTCTTGTATATTAGCATTTCACTGTAAGGACATGCTTTCCCTTCATCTCACATCCATTCACCCTTCTTTCCTTCATTTCCTCCTTTCCTTCCCTCCCTCCCTCTCATCTGTTGATCCATCCATCATCAACAGGTTAAAATCTATCACAGTCCTGGGGCTGGTGTTTCTGGGCGGGAGGCTGTGTCCGCGGGGGGCGGG